GCTGTGCAGCAAGGCACACTGCTGTGGGGCCTTGGGCCTTCTCTTGGAAGTTCTGGGTCTGTCTGGTCCAGCTACAGTTTGTTAGGTAATTTTCAGATTGCAAAGGGCCAGGCCATTCATATGCAAAAGCCTCTGCCGCAGCTTGAGTGGGGCAGGGTCTCAGGGAATCAACAGGGCGGAGCAAGCAGCTATGGCTGATTCTCAGCCCTGCCTGGGGCTCCACTTCTCAGTGTCCCGGTAATCGGTAATCGCTGCAAGCACCCCTGAGAGAAAGCCGCCCTCAAGTTCCGAGTTCTGCCTGTTGCCTGACAGTCCAGTCTCTCCCTGTATGAGTTCTGGGTCCCCAGAGACTCACTTGGAAGTGGAGTTCAGAGCAGTCGGGGGCTTGTGACTCACTCCTGATTAAAAAAGACAGCCGCGTCCTCAGTCGCCAGCCCACGCCGCGTGCTCCTCTGTACCTTTGCACTTCCGCACCTCCTCTGAATCTCAGTGTGCTTTTCTCTTTCCTTCTAGTTGTAGAATTTCCACTCAGCCAGCCTTCCTGTGGTTCTGGATGATGTCCGTTTTGTCTTTTAGTTGTATTTTTGAATTTGTTGTGGGAGGCAGCATTTTCTGGTGTTTGCCTGTGCTGCCATCTTGGTTTCTCCTATATTAATTTTTTAGAGTAGAGAGGGAGGGAGGGAGGGGGAGAGAGAGAGAGAGAGAGAGAGAGAGAAACATCGATGTGAGAGAGACACATTGACTGGTTGCCTCCAGCACGTACTTCAGCCAGGGTCAGCAACCAAGGTACATGCCTTTGACCAGGAATTGCAGCCTAGACCCTTCAGTCCATGGCTAGCACTCTAACCACTGAACCAAACCGGCTAGGGCTACTTTCTTTTCTAGCTCTGTATATTCCACATTATAGCAACAGTGTAGAAATTTGTTTATTTTATTTTATAATTATTTTGAGATTATGTTTATTAAAGCTGGGGACAGTGAAAAAGGGAAGGGCTTAGGATAGAAAAAGCAACAGGAGAGAGCCTAGGTGGGGCTGTTCTGGCTCATTGGAAAGTTAGAGAAAAGGGCCTTGGATACAGGTTCAGGGAGTTAGCCTGGGTTGAGCTGCCACTGCCCATTTGCTCCCCTGGTTGCAAGTCTGTGGCGACCCTTAGAGTTTGGGAAATGCACACCAGTGGGGGAGAGGAGAGTAAGGGAAAGGCACAGGAATGCTCCTGAGAGGGAGAATGTGCCAACAGTATAGAAGTTTAGTTTTTTTTAAAGACATTTGTGTGTTTTTTAAATATGTTTTTATTGATTTTTAGAGCGAGAGGAAGGGAGAGGGATAGAGAAAGAGAAACATCTATGAAAGAGAGACATAGATTGACTGCCTCCTGCATATACCTTACTGAGGATCAAGCCTACAACCTGAGCATGTGCCCTGACCAGGAATTGAACCAGGGAACTCTGGTTCATGGGCTCAACCACTGAACCACACCAATTGGGCTAAGTTATTCATTCTTAAAGGGAAAATGTACTGTTTTGGGGAATTCTGTATTCTAAGAACTGAATATAAAAAGGTGTCTTTTTTTTTTTAACCTTTAACCTTTCTGCTATTTCAGGTGCAAGTGAAAGTGTTGGGAAACATATGCTTGAAGCCTGCAACAATAATCTGGAGATGGCAGTCACAATGTTTTTGGATGGTGGTGGAATCGCTGAAGAGCCCAGTACCAGTTCCGCAAGTGTCTCCACTGTTAGACCACACACAGAGTATGAATTTATTATTTCTTGTTAGGAGCAACCCCCTGCCTGTTACTGTTATATTGAGTAACTGCATTTTTATCAGGTTAATTCTCAGTATTTGAAAAAAAAATTATAGTTGAGAGCATCTGAAAAAGTGTCAAATAGAAATTTTTATACTTAATTGAAATTCTCGAAAGCACTGTTATGTCTTATCTATTGTTTAATCCTCAAAAGAATCCTGTAGGATGGCATTATTACCCATGTTTTACAGTTGAGGAAACAGGCATAGCCATTTTCCCAAGTTACACACACAGCATTTAAGTAGCAGATATGGAAGTAAAACCCAATAAAGTTGAGATTTCCCAATTCTGGATTTTCTTACATTGTCCTAGGGAAAGTTTTGAGCTGCCGTGAAAAAATTTTGAAAAATAATTCTAGTCTTTTATACCGTAGTTAGGTTATTAGAAGCACCTACAGTATATGGCACTATATAGAGAATAGTCATAAATGTTAAATAGATTTGTTATTTTTTGCCCTTTACATTTGATACCAATAAGAGTTTGAAATGAATACCTTTTGGGCAAAATTCCAACAGTTTTTGGAAAATTTTAGAAATGAATGTTACTCTAAGGAAAACCTTTCATTTAAAAACAAAACAAAACACAAAATTTGAAAGATCCTTAAGACTTTAATACTCATAATAGAGGAATCTCCTTAAATAGGGATAGACAGAAGACATGGATTTTATTTTTACTAAATTAGACATAGATTTAAGAGGCCAAATAACATTCAGGACATTTTTTCCTCTTTTATTGATATAGTTCCAGGTTCCAGAGTAATATCGTTTCCACATGAAGCATGAACTTTAGAGATCATTATTAGTATTTTATAAAGTTCTTTTCTCTCTCAATCTTGGCCATATAGTTCAGGTATGATATCCCATTCTCTCTCAACTTAGCGTGCAAATCAATATGAAAACATTAATTTTATAGAAACTTGGGTAACAGTTATTCACAGCAGATTTGGGAAATACCTTAATTGTGTTTAAAATAGTTTTGATAAATGAATGTTTTTCCCTACTGAATTACATTATAATTTGAGTTAGATTATTTGTATTGCTAATTGGTTAACATTTGATAGTGGCTCCTAATTCCTAAACTGTAATTTTCACTCTTTACAGTTCACCTTATTCTATTCCATTCTTCCATCTTGTTAGGTAGTTAACAATTTGGAACAGATACCCTCAAATATGTAGTAATCAAGTCTTTCTGTAGAGGAACAACTATTGGTTGAAAGAATAATATATGTGTATGTAAAAGTGAGGTATGCTAATAATGGAAAGATTTATTTAGGTAAAAGATGTCTTTTATTAGTTTTTTTAAGATAATGACCTGTTTTTCTTTGATGGAAGAGGATTAAGAGCTTCCTCTTACAGACACATTGTTCCTTCAGATCAATGAAATTCTGTGTGTAAGCAGTGAATGATAATCTAATAGGAAAAAGTATTAACATAATTTTGAATTATCCTTTATTCTTCAGTCATTTGGCTTATTGCATATTTCTTTGTGTAGTTATGTGATTACAGGATGTTAGTTCTTGTTGACAAATGAATATACAAACCTTATTTCATAAAGTATGGTTTGAAACTCTCAGAGATCAAAAAACAGGGCCTTCAGTTCAGCTATTATTATTAGACACATCTGAATGGAAAACATAGGGCCTAACTTAAATTAACATTTATTGTAAGCAGGAAGATAATAAATTTGGAACTTACTATTTGCTATGAAAATTAATCAGCAGAATTTAGTATTTGGGTTAAAACTATAAAATAAACTAATATTTAAAGAACATACACCATTTTAACAGTATATCTAAAGTATTTTTTTACTGGAAGAGATAGATTATTAGTAAACCCTATAGAGGTAAACTTTGAAGAGTTTATAGGCTTTTATAAGAGGAATAATTACTTTTTCTGTTTTGTGTATAGTAGGATCTACTTAAATAATTCAGGGCAATACCTATGTTGGCCATTTTCATAACTAGCATAAAATTCACTGCATGTTTGTTTAAGCTTATTTTACTATATCAGTGTAATTTAATTATTTGATATGGTAGTAATAGTGCTTTTATTAAGCCAATATTTTTCAATTAAAGTTTTTGCCTGATTTTTTTTTTTAATTCCCTCTCTTTTTCTTGGAAAGAATTTAAGGTAGAGAACTTGAGAGGAAAGGGGAAATACTTTTTATTTTTGTTTGTTCTCTTTCTTTGTAAATTATTTGAGATATCTGTGCCATGTACAGAGGGAACAGGTAGCAAAACAACTGTTTTCATTTTGATATTTTCCCACTTTTTCTAATAGAGAAGAAGTTCGTGCCCCAATTCCTCAAAAGCAGGAAATATTGGTAGAACCAGAACCTTTGTTTGGTGGTAAGTTTCCCCTTTTTCCTTAGTTTTGTTTGACTTTGTTGTTGTTTCTAGGATTTTAATGAAGCAATCAAAAGATGTGAAGGCTTGCTCAGATTGTTACTTCAAGTATAGAGTCAATTCTTATCTTGTAATTCTGTATTCTTTTCAGGAAAGTTGTACAATTGATCTTTCCAAGGAGTGAACCAGATTAAAACATTGATATTTGTTACAGGAAGCCAAAGGGAGTAAAATTAGCAAAAAGAACTGCCTTATAATGGAAACCAGTCAATCTCTCATTAAAGATGCCAATTATTTTATGTTCTGGATATTTACCTGACTGTCATAATCTTACTGTCTTTTTTTTTTAAAATATATTTTATTGATTTTTTACAGAGAGGAAGGGAGAGAGAGAGAGAGTCAGAAATATCGATGAGAGAGAAACATCGATTAGCTGCCTCCTGCACATCCCCCACCAGGGATGTGCCCGCAACCCAAGTACATGCCCTTGACCGGAATCGAACCTGTGACCTTTCAGTCCGCAGGCCGACGCTTTATCCACTGAGCCAAACCGGTTTCGGCAATCTTACTGTCTTGATATGCCTTACATTCACTCTTTTTTAATTTCTAGACAAGCTATTTCTATTTTGAACAAAGGAGAAATGATATCTTACCCATGTAAAAAAAACTTTATCTATCTGGGTGCAAAGAAAATATGGTAGAAAATAGGAGGATGTTTAACCAGATTTAAAGAAAATTTATAGTTTTAGTCTCATAAACACTTATTTACCTTCTGTGAGCCAAATATTGTAGATATTAAAAGGTATATTAAAAAACTGAAGATAAAGTAATCTATCTAGTTGGGTAGACAAATGCATAGAAATCTATATAGTACATACTGAGGACAGTAATGCAGAGAAATAGGCCTATGAAAAGTTTTATAGCTAAACTAGACTAAAGGAGAACAAAGTAAGACAGGGATGAAGAAAAGCACATAAACCATATCTTTTTAAACATTGAATTTATTGGGGTGACACTGGTTAATAAAATTAAAGGTTTCAGGCGTACAGTTCTATAATACATCATCTGTATATTGTATTGTGTGTTTACCACCCCAAGTCAAGTCTCTTTACATCACCACTTATCCCCCTTTTACCCTCTCCTGTCTCTCCCCATCATCTGTCTATGAGGGTTGTTTTGTTTTGTTTTTTACTTAATCCTTTTTTACTTAAACCTTTTTCACCCAGAGCCCTGTTCCCTTCCCTCTACAGTTGTCAGTCTGTTCTCTGTATCTATGAGTCTGTTTCTATTTTGTTCGTTAGTTTTGTATAAACCATATCATTTTTTAAAAAATATGTTTTTCATTGATTTTAGAGGGAGAGGAAGAGGGCGAGAGAGAAACATCAATGTGAGAGAGAAACATCCATCGATTCATTGCCTCCTGCAAGCCCCCCCACTGGGAATCTGAGTGAGCATCCTGGGTTATGAGCGCTGACTTGGAATCCATCCTGAGACCTTTTGGTGCATCTGATGATGCCCAACCACCTGGACCACACAGGCCAGAGCCATATCTTTTGATTTGAAAAAGCACCTTAGTTGAGAGGTGGTTTTTTTTAAAGATTGATCTTTAACTTTGGAGTTTACTGTAGCAAGAAATAAAGTAATATACTGTTTCAATTCAGAAATAGAGATGGAAGGAAGAAAATGATAATATCTGAATATTGAAGTATAATATGTGCTTTCTGTGTTGTTTGATTTAGCCATTGTGTTGTTAATATTCCAGAATAAAGCAAGCAGTAATTTTAAAAAATATAAATGTTGTGAATAGATTTTTAGAGCCAAGGAGTAATACCTTGGGAGCTTTATCTTTTCTTTATTGCAAGGAAGAAGGCGAGATCTTTGAGTGGAGAAAGAAGACAGGAAATAGATTTTGTGCTGTTTATTATTGAACAGAGGCAAAAGAGTTCCCATTTGAAATCTTACTTTCCTCCTTTTATCTCTGGTTTAATATACATTAGGAAGAGGATGAGAATGACTTTATACAATTAGGAATTCAGTCTGAATGGTTACTATTGTTCCTTATTTATAACTTAAGGAAGGTCTTCAGAGAATTATTTCTTTTTAGGACAGTATTAATTTAAAGTGTGATTTTTAAAAATATATATATTTTTTATTGATTTCAGAGAGGACCTTAGGAAGAGAGAGAGATAGAAACATCAATGATGAGAGAGAATCATCCTCCTGCATGCCCCCACTGGGGATCCAGCCCAGAACCCTGGCATTTGCCCAGATGGGGAATTGAATTGTGACCTCCTGGTTCATAGGTTGATGCTCAACCACTGAGTCACACCAGCTGGGCTAAAGTGAGATTCTTAAAGTGTGGTCAAGCGTTTCCAATACCTTTTTCAGGGTGTCTGTAAGATCAAAACTATTATTATATTCATATAATGCTAAGAAGTTACTTGCTTTTTTCACTGTGTTGATGTTTGGATTGATGGCTCAAAAGTAATGATGGGTCAAACTGCTGCATCTTATTTAAATCAGGTTAGTGGCACCAAACTGTACTACTTACTACTCATTGAATTCTTCACTGCCACACACTTGCAGTTTTTTAAAAAAGACAATTTTGTTTAATATCTTGATGAAGCAGTAAAAATTAATTTCATTTAATCTTAACCCTTGAATACATGTTTTTTAAACTATTCTGTTTGATGAAATAGGATGTGTGCACAAAACACTTCTGCATATTGAAATAGTGTGGTTTTAAGGAAAAGTTCTTGTACAGTTGTTTGAGTTGCAAGCTAAACTAGCTGCTTTTTTCTTTCTTTTTTTTTTTTTTTTTTAAAGCCCTTCCTTTAATCACTAATCTTGAAAGAAAGACAGGAAAGCAGGGAGAAAGTAAAGGGAAGAAGAAATGCAGGAAGGGAGAAAAAAGAGCTGCTTTTTTCATGGGACATTACTTTTACTTGATTGCTGACAAAGTGGGATTTTTTTGTTGTTAATCCTCAGCAAGGATATTTTTTCCATTGATTTTTTTAGAGGGAGTGGGGGAAGAAACATCATCATGAGAGAGACACATTGATTGGTTGCCTCCCACTTGTGCCCTCACTGGGGCTGGTTATTGAACCTGCAACTGAGGTACATGCCCTTGACCTGGAGTTAAACCCACAACCATTCAGTACTCTGGCCAATGCTCTAACCACTGACCCAAACGGGTCAGGGCAACATTTAATTTTTTGAGGAGCCTCCATACTGGTGCATCTATCTGCATTCCCACCAACAGTGCATGAGGGTTCCCTTTTCTCCACACCCTTGCCAACACTTGCTGTTGGTGGATTTATTGATAGCCATTCTTACAAGTGTGAGGTGATATATCATTATTAAAGGCCCGGTGCACAAAAATGTGTGCACTCCGGGGGGTCCCTCAGCCTGGCCTGTGCCCTCTCGCAGTCTGGGACCCCTCGGGGGTTGTCCACCTGCTGGCTTAGGCCTGCTTACCAGGGG